GAACAGCTGGCTGTGTAAGACTTGTGACGAGTATGTTTATCCAGAATATATCATCACTTTCTAAAACGTGTATTCATTTTGTTCTATTTTTAATTGTGTTAATTTTAATTAGGAGCAGGATTTCATTGTGTTGAGTCATTCTTCAAAAAATGTGAACTTCAGCTTTATATGCAGGATTAAAGATATCTGTATTCAGAGATTTAAGAACAATCAGAGTGAATTAATATTTGTGTAGGGAATAAGAAATAGCATTGGCAAAGCTTTTAAAAATTAATTAAAAATGTTTAAGTGTTTTTTATAGGTCATTTTAGTTGAATCACACTGAAGTAATGAACTATGATGAGCCAGGTTTTTAATATAAATCTGGAGCATTTGGGTATTTAAATTTTGTCCCACCTGAATATTCATTCATTCATTCCCCCGATTTTTGAAATACTTAATACTGCCTTTTATCCATACTGGGATATTCCTATTCTTGATTTTCATTGGTAGGGGATTTGATGCTATTCAGAAGACTGACTCAACTGCTATTTCAGACTGTGCATTAAATAATTACTGAATTTTTAAGACCGTGTGATTTTTGCCTCTTTCCCTTGGGTGTGCCTGATGCTACAATATTTTCCAAAATTTAAAAATGGAAAAAAAATTCCTAGTTTGCCACAAATCTGTCATGAATACAACTGGTACTAACTGAAATTGTTGCCATTTCTGGAGACACCAAGGACAATTAAAACTCTCTTATTTGGTGGTCAGGGTTGACAGGAAGCAAGTGCACAGTTTGGATTGCTGCTGCTTATGACAAACCTATTATGTCAACAAATGGAAGGCTTCAGCCTTCAAGACTGCTAGTGCTGCATCTTTCTTGAGCCCTACACTCAGTTTAAACATTTATTTATACAAGAAATATTAAAAAAAAAAAACCAAACTCCATACATGATTTTTTTTGACAGCTGAGAAATTGAAGTACATGAATAAGCCAGATGCTCAGCTGCTGTAAAATTGTGAAACGAAGAATACTGCATCCAAAACGTTTACCGGGGAAATGTAAATAAGCATAATTTGGTCAGGTCACCATCCTTACTTTTGCAACAACAAAAAAATCCTTGGGATCTGTTGTATTTGTGTGTACTCGCAATCACCCACAGTCGGCAGCAACAATGAACTCTTTTATTTTGTTTTGTCCAAGACAGAAAAAGTACAGATGAACTGCCTGCTAGCAAGGAGGAAGCTGAAGTGAACCCTGAGCAAATCCCTTCCTCTGTAGACGACAGCTCATGGGTACTAACAATAGCACTCCTGGTGCTCATGTTCACCGAGATAAAACTATAGCACCCCTAATGCATACATAACAGGATGTTTAATGACCACAAAAGTAGCTTATGATGATGTATTTTCCAAAATTCAGCAGCACATCCAACAGTACAGTGACCCTTAGTGCCATGTTGCCTTATTACTATTGCAGAGGGAAGAGTCTGACTGAATCAACAAGAGCATTTTATGCAGCACCGTGAGTTTTCCTTGACTGCCTCCTTCCCAAGGAAAGTGCAGCACCTCAGCTTGTGAGATCGAAGGAGTGCACAACCCAAGTGACTGCAAGTGACCAACCATAAAAAAATCAAGTTACCAGGAATATCGCCTCAGCCATGAAGAAGATAACTGTTTGTAGGCCTAAGTATACTGAAAGTGTGCTTTCAGGTTAGGGGAGATACTGAGAACATGATATTAAGCAAAATAAAAGCGCTGCCTGTGAGCAGTGCTGTTTTCTTTTAAGAAATTGGCCTGCAATACTGAATGCTAAGACTTGCAGGTGAGAAGAGACAATGCAGTTGGGTCCAGATTCCTGAGCTTTTATTCTTTTTGATAAATAATTCCATATATTTAGACAGTAGCTACCTCTGCACTAAATACCATGCCCAGGCCCATTCCATCAGATGGATGGCTCACAGGAATTGTTATTCATCTACTGCGGTTTTTATCTGGAATGATATTCACATGCGCAAATTAAGCATGTACTAATAAGCAAAACACACAAACATATTACTAATAAAAAATGTTGTAGATATGGCTGCAATTTGGTTGTGTAAGAGAAAGGTGGAATTATGTGGGCCATGAGAAGTGAGGTGATTTGAGGAGAGGTACAGGTGAGTGTAGATGGGGTACTGAATGACTCATTTGTTTGTTTCCTTGGTTTTCACAGTTTACCTTGGTTGGACAGCAGTCTAGCAATCCAAAGCTGACAAAGTCTTTCCATCTGGATATTTAGGACTTGATGCTGTTCCTCTTGAAGTAAATGACACAGTTCAGTTTACTTCTAGGAGTGCAGGATTGGCCTTTAGTAGTGTGTATTGTACTGTGTACTTAGTCATTGGAATTTACAGATTTTCAGATGAAGAGCAATCACTTAAAAAAAAGTGTAGCCTTGCTTTACATAGTTTTGATGTTCTGAAAATGGCGCCAATACCTATGCAAAGATTTCCTCTTGATTTCTGCTTCATGCAAACTGTAATTCTATCAGGTCTTTCTAAAGTAAAAGAATGCAATGTGCACCCAAGATCAGAGTTGCTTGTATGACCTACCCAAATTCTAAAATACTGCATTTTCTCTCTCTAGCTCAGAATGCAGATTTTGCAGGTGGGTGCCACAACCAGAGATCCAAACCTATTACTCATGTGCTCTTCTTTAAAATGATTCTATATCACTAGTCTCACCATTCAAAAAAATGTTCATTTTATTAACAGAGTAAGTTATGTAACTAGCAGTGCAGGAAAGCAATACAGAACGTCTGCTAAGCATACTGAAATTACAAATATATTTGTCAGTGCAATGAGTTAATGACCTCTTTTACACTGACTTATTGACCTACCACACACTGCCACTGAGGGATTGTTAAAGCAGCCGTTATCATATATGATACTCGATGGATGAATTGCACTTTGACATGTTTATATTAAGCACGTGATTTTTTTTCAAAACTGATGATGTTTCTCTGCTGTCCTGAAGATATTTTATGCACAGTATTATACCTTGTAAGTATAGAGAGACAGATTCATGGGGTACATTCCAGCTGCTTTGTGCCTCTCCACTATTGACCACGTTAGGATTTTGTTGAACTCTACCTTCTGAGCCACACGACTCTTTGGCCCAAATTAAGTAGTGACATAAATTGTCTGTTTTACCACCCCCCCCCACAGGGGCAGAACGATGTGATTGTGGCAGGTTTGTAAGAGAATGTCAGCTTCTGAGTAAGGGCTTGTCAACACGTGGAATTGGGAATAGCTGTTCCAGAAAAACTCCATATGTGGGCACTCTTATTCCAGAATTGGAGTGCCTTTTTCTGAATTTATTTAATTTGTGGAAGTGGATTAAGTGAAATCAGCAAAGGCAGTCTTATTTCAGAATAAGGTGTTCACACTTGGAATTATTCAGGAATACCTATTCCACTTTCAGTTCATACCGTACCTTTGTTCCAGAATAACTTTTATGTGTAGACACTCTAGAGTGGCCAGGTGCCCAGTTTTCGACCGCAAAATCCAGTCAAAAGCCCTTTTCAACCGGACACCCGAAGTCCAGTTCCTGCAGGTGGGGGAGGCACCGAGTCATCACCCACTCCAGCCCCTATTCAGCTGGGGCTGCCTTCTACCTTCATCAGGTGGCTGCAGCTTCCAGCTCTGGCTCTGCAGGCAAGTCCCTCCTGACCCATGCAGGGATGGGGAGGACAGGGGAAGAGCAATGAGCGATGCGGGGAGGGGTAAAGAGGAGCTAATGGGGGGTGGAGCCTCCAGAGGAAGGGGCAGGAGTGGGGCCTCGGAAAAGAGTTAGGGCAGGAATGAGGCCTAGGGACAGGGGTGGGGCCTGCGGGGCACAAGGTGGAGCACGGCCTCATGGAGAAGAGGCGGGGCGGGGAGGTTCCGGCACTCCTGCTGGAGTGTCCAGTTTTTATATATTACAAAATTGGCAACCCTAAAACAATCCCTTACATCAATTTGCACCGACATACAGTTGTTTACTCTGATTTGAAGTACTGATATGCAATAGGCACCATCAAGTATCACCTCTGAATTTATAAATCCAATTTTTATGTGGCTAACTGTAAATATTTGGCAAATGCTGTGTAAGACAACTGCAGAAAATAATATTATGGGCAGGCTTTCCAAGCAATGTATTGTTGTGTTTTATTATTTGTGCTGCAGTAGTGCCATAAGGCACCAGCCATAGTGTGTTAGGCAGTATGTGTATATCACAAAAGATGTTCCCTGCCCCCAAATTGATTACAATCTAAGAATAAGATGAGAGACAGGATGTGTATTCAATAAACTGATGTTGGGAGCATGAGGTAACAGTGACATGAGTACAATCAACATGACAAACAGCAGTTGAAGCATATTGTCTGGATAAACATTTTAGGCACAGAATGATATGCTCACAGTGTGTCCATTTGGTAAAGACAAATGCCACAGTGGTAAGAACAAGTCCAGTAATGGTGTATTCAGTACTGGTATGCATGTAGGCATATGATCCTCTGTTTTTTGAAATTCTGGTCGTAAAATCACATCACTGAAATAGGTTAACAAATGTAGATATTTTTTCTCTCCCTTTAAAAGATGGGAAGTAGGGACCAGCTAGTTCAGAAGCCATGTCACCTGTGAATTAAACAAGACGCAGAGCCATTAGGAATTCAACCTGAGGTTCAAATCCTTTGACGTTGAGGATCCAGGCCAATATATATTGCTTTTTCCAATGCACAATGCTTTTTCCAATGCACAATACACTCTCTTTAATTAATCACCAGTTGCTGTCATGTCATTTATGCAGTATTATAAAGCAATGTTTGTGGGTTGAAAAGCTGAGGCCTTACTTAGTCCTTAGGTCTCTCACTAAATTCCTTCACAAGGCAAAAATGGAGTGAAGACCTCAGTAATTTTTTCCTGTCTGTAATACTCTGCAAGGAGATTGAAAATAATTTTCCATTTGACAAACTTTGTTTTTTTTTCTCCGCAGTGAAATTGGAATGAACATCATGGATTTTGTTTCAGGACCACAACTTCAGCTGAAATAATACTTTATCTTGCCAAAGCACATTTGCTTGTGCAGTGCACCTGCTTCATCAGCGATGTCAGCACAGCTCTGAAATCGTGATTTCCAGATAAATGCTGCTGCAGAACCAGTAGCGGGACCAGAAAATATAGGGCCAAGTGCGCCTCTCATGTTAGAAAACCATAGAAACCACAGTAAGCACTAACTGGGTGAGATAACTGGGGTAATATCTAACAGAATGTCCCCTTATGGAGGTGGTATGAGCAGTGTTACATATGGGCCCGAGGGTGTTGCCAGCAAGTTGCAGAGGCACCAAGAAGCTGTTAGAAATCTCTTTCCCAATCCTGCAGACCTCCTGGTATCTGTGTATTTCAGCGCCCAGTGAGAATTTCTGGGGTCTGACCTACTTGTTCATTGAATGGTTGAATCACAGTCTGATGTGTGTGCATACATGTGAGCACACACATATGTGCAATAAATATATATCTGCTCCATCCAAAAAACTACATTAAAAGTAATGTTTAGGTCCCAAAGTAAAGCACTCAAAAATTAGGAAATGCCAGAATTATGACAGTCTTTAGTTGCATGTTCACATACTAATTTTTTTCTAGGACTCCTGCCTCAATATTTCTTTTTATCCTCTTTTATCTAAGGTGTGGGCCTTGAGTGCTGTTTACTGCACACCATTCAAAACCTGTACCAAACACAAAATTAATAATTTCCTCGTGGGCATTTCTATGGTGTTTCTCCATAGTATTTGACTGCTTCACAGACATTTATCTTCACTATACCCTGGTGAATTGAAGCCTGAAATCATCAAAAGTGTCCACTAACTTTGGATGCCTAACTTAAGAGACCTAGGGAACCTGATTTTCCTGAGTACCTAGCATTTTTATACATTTGAAACACAACTCCAGTTGATTCAGTTGCAGTTGTAAGCACTCAGCCCTTCTGTAAATCTGTCCCCACACGTCTCCTGTTGGGCACCCAGAAAACGAGGAACACTTAATTAATGGTCACTTGTGAATAGTTTGGTTTAAGTGGATTGCCCAGCTTCTTACAGGAACTCTGTGACAAAAGTAGGGATTTAATTCTGGCATTTCTTAACTTTTGAGTGTTTGACAATGTAACCTTAATGTTAAGTTATTGGAGGTTTTTTGTATGTAATTCCTAATTCAGACAACAAAACAAAACAGAAATTCTATTCTGTGGAACCATATTGTTGACCCTCAACTTGGGTCATCAGCATGGTTTGAACCTTTAGTAATGGAGTAACTAACAGTTGTAGTAGTTTGGTTATGTGGAGCAGGAAAGATTTGGAAGTGTGAATTATCTAGCAAAAGGGTCTTCTTTTTTCCTTATTTTCAACATCTTCCACAATTGCACCTGTCTTGAAGCTTGGCAGAATTGCTACATTTCAGGTGACACAAAAATCTTTCAAAACCAAATTGTTTGTGGAACAAATTCAGAGACATGTTCCTCCAAAATATTTGATTGCTGTGACATAGCTCTCCTTTCTCTCTGTAACTTACATGTGCTTATTCTTTCCTATTGTTAGATTTTTCAGCTCCATGACCGTGGAAGAAGTATGGGTGGATCCCTGGGCCTCCAGTGTGCTCCATGAAGGCACAGGATTCTGTACAGAATTTCTTGCAGGATAAGTGCCTAAGTCTTGATATTCAAACTTCACATCAGTGCTTTGTACCTAGCATGTTGTTTCCAATGGTAATTTATTTCAGCTGCTGAATTTTTATGTAGTGTCAAAGTGTCATTTATTACAAAGTGATATTTATCTTTACTAGGAAATAGGACACTTTTTAAATGTATCTTCCCTTATCAGGGAATTTGTTTCTATAATAATTTAACTGCAAAGTAGTCATTGATTCGTTCCATGAATATTCCTTAGCGGACATAAATGAAATACTAAGAAATGATCATCCGGTATGAGCTGTGCTGCAAAATACTTGCAATTTTTGGGAAGCATTTTCCAGCTGCTTTTACTCAACAGCATTGATTAGAGATCACAAAGTGCATGCCTGGCTGGCTAGAAATAATATTTAACATATCATTTGTTTCAGAAACCATCTTGCAGTAAGAATAATGAGGTGTGATGCCTCTAGAAATGGATGTACCAGCTATATTGTGCCTATCATGTCTTATTTCATCATGTGGAAGTGTCATGAAATAATAGTAATAAGCTGAGGAAAGAGGAACTTTTTACCAAGCTTCTGTCTCTTCTTTCAGGAGGGGCAGTTCTGTACAGTGATGAATTTCTGGCCAGCTCTTCAAATCCTTTCTGTTAGTACATGGTGATACAAGGTAGAAAGATTTGTCCTGCTGTTTATTTCACCTGCTCATGTATTAAAGACATTTCCTATCTTAAGCTGACATGAGCAAGTTCTGCCCCTATACAAATATTGACACATTTTAACACAACAGTGGAGATTAGTCTGGGACTCTGGAAATTGCTTAAGGCTGAGGTTTCTTTTCAGGAGGTCTGTTGTCTCTTTCCATTTAAAAAAAAAGGAGGGAAGTTGATAAATGTTTGTAATTTTAGCTGTTACTCTGCACCTTGAGAGCTTCGATGGGTCAAAAAGGGAAAAAAATGGAAATAATGGCTTGATGCCCTCGACGGTAAGGAGCTCTCTGCTCCCATCTGTTGGTAAATAGGCAGAAGAACAGCCACAAAGCTGCTTCACCTGCATAAACTAGTTCCCCAGAATTCTAGATGAATGGAAGTTCCTAAGGGTAAGGAACTCTCTTCCCTCCTCTGTTGGTGAACCAGGTGAAATACGGCTACAGAGAGGGCTTTGTTTGCATAAGCTTTCTACCCTGAATTCCTCTAGTGACACTTTGGGAGCCACCATAACTGTACACAAACTCAGAATTGGTTGCATGGTGGAACTGAACTGAGGGGAAATGAAGTGTGTATCCCTGGTTGCAAGAAGTCTGTTCAAGGGTCCTATACACGATTGTCCCATTTGCTGGGGCTCCTGTGCTGTTGAGAGAGTCTCACAGTGAGAGACGATGCAAAGAGAGGACTTTGTGATGGTTGGTGATGCAGTGGTAGGGTGGCTCCTTGATAGGGTACAATGCAGAGAGGGCTCTTCACTGAAGCCACAGAAGGCCACAATAGAGCTTTGAGTGAACTCTGGTGAGGCCTCTCCTATGCAGCCACTAAATAAAGCTGAAATCACTAGAGCTGGGCTAGATGGTGGAGTCTCAGGACCAGACCAAACAGCACTTCCCAGAGGTCTGGAGACAGGCGTTCCTGGATGCACATCAGGACCCTGACTATGCTACTCACTGACACCAAACTGTGAATGGAGTTTAGTGGATGGGGAAGGAGAAAGTGACATCGTAAAAGGACATTTGCCTATTGGATGTACGCACTGGCGGGTGGGGAACAGAGCTAACAGACTCCTTCTAGAGTTACCTTGGGGGAGTGATTTACTTACATTCATTGAAATATGTGTAACGATCTGTACCTTGGGGGAACACCCAGCACCCCCATGTTCATCCTTTTAATACGATTGTGTGGTATCTAATGCAAAGTTTGTCACGTTGGGTGTCTTCGGAAGGCTCATGATGCACTGAGCATTGTTGTTATAGTAATCATTGTTATAGTAATGTTATAGGTTGTAATGTCATGTATATAGTTATGAGCAATGTTCCCTCTAATTTTTGACAGGCCATGTGCGCAAAACATTTCTTCTGTGCAAATTTTTGACAGGTCGTGTGTGCAAATTTTTGTGCTTCTGTACAAATTTTTGTGCATGCAGTGTTTCACCATGTGCACGGGGTTTAGGATCTGTGTGCGAACACACATGCGCACAGCTTAGAGGGAACAATGGTTATGAGGCTGAGAATGTGTCCTCATGGCTTAAAGCAAGCCCAGGCAAAAACTCTCCAGACGCAGAGGGGCAGTTCACACCTTATCAGGACATGTATGGGACAAACCCAGCCCAGACTCTGACAGGAACAAAGAACACTGGCCTATGCAACAACAAAGGATCTGTGGACTCTTGAGTGAGTCACCCCCTTCCTTTGGTCAGTTTGGGACTGGGATGAGGTAATGCTCACCAGACTCTGAAGGGGGGGGCAGGCAAAGCCAAGAGGGAAGAAAGGACATGATAAAAAGGAAAGATGTTTGCCATGCTCTTTCTCTCTTTTCCACCTACATCTATAGACGCAGCACCAAGCGACTGAAGCACTGATCAAAGGGGAGAGCCTGGCTGAAGCACAATCCGCCACCCTGTGATGAGAAGCATCTAAGTTTGTAAGGGCACTGAAAGTGTTAAGATCAGCTTAGAATGTGTTTTGCTTTTATTTCATTTGACCAAATCTGACTTGTTATGCTTTGACTTACGATCATTTAAAATCTACTTTTGTAGCTAATAAATCTTTTTGTTTATTCTACCTGAAGCAGAGTGTTTGGTTTGAAGAGACTCCCCTTGGGATAACAAGGCTGGTACATATATGGAGTTCTTCAATTTAACAAAGAAATTGATAAGTTTGCAGCGTCCAGCAGGCATAACTGGACGCTGCAAGACAGAGGTTCCTAAGGTTGTGTCTGGGACTGGAGATATTGGCTAGTGTCATTTGGTTGCGCAGTCCAAGCAGCAGCTGGCCAAAAGTGCTCACTCACATAGCCGGGAGCAGCTTACATGATAGAGGCTGTGCATGAACAGCCTGGGAGTGGGGGTTCTCACAGCACAGCAGGGTAAAGCTGGCACCCAGAGTCAAGGAGTGGAGTGACCTAGCAGATCACCAGTCCAGATAACACCAAAGGGGAATGTCACAATATGTTGTTGCTGTTTTCCCAAGTTGATGTTGTGTTTCCTTTCCCTACTAATTTAGTTCCCCTTGTTTCATACACGGACTCAGTGCTTATGAGTTGGAAAGTGTTGTCTTATAAGTATACTTGGTAAGGTATTTAGTGATCCCAAAAATTCTGGGTTGTAGTTTGAGCCAGTGGTGTTTCTTTGTTCTTTATTTGAACTGGTCCTGTTACTGCTGACAACACCCAGAAGAAGGGCGACATATATGATTCAAGAAAAAGATGCTATATTGGCTTTGAACTAGTTATTTTTTCATTTTGTTGCTTGTTAGTTGATCTTTTAGACTTGTGGCAAATCTGTCATAGGTCTGATCCAGCATGGCAATTTCTATGCTCCTAATGTCCATTTAGTCCATTATTCTGTATCGATAGGTCTCATCCTGATCTGTAATAGTTAGTGATTGGCTTAAGTCCTGAACCATAAGGTTTAATAGCCCTTCAAAAATGTATGTTATAGTAAATTGTGATAACTCTGGATATTTTTAATCGATAAAGATGTCCAGTCCCTTTTTGTTTTCTTACTAAATTCTTGGCCTCAATGGGTATGTCTACACTGCATAGCAAACCCAGGCTCAGACTCAAGAGTAAGCCCCATCCCCAACCATGCACGCACAAAGCCGTCTGACTCATGCCAGAAAACTCAAGACTTGGGCCTGTGTCTTCACCGAGGGATATAGATTTGAGCCCAAGTCCCAGTGTGGCGCAGGTCCAATCGCATTCATTTTGCAGCATGAACGCAGCTGAAGCCTGGATCATCAGGCTTGTGTGTGGAGAGCCTGCCAACACTATCGCACGATCCCCTAGGTCTGTGTTTCCTGACCCTTCTACCCCAAACTTCCCAGCCAATGCCCAGGAACTGGAAACAATCTCCTGGTTCAAATTTAGCAGCTCAGAATTTCCATGCAGACTACTCAACTGTAAGCACAGTTAACCCAATGTGTTAGCTATGGCCAGAATAATGAAGAAGCTATACATCGAGCATGCCACTAGCTAGCTGGCAAGAGGAACAGCCTGATTCTGGTAAATATGTGGTGTAAGGAGGGCAACACATTTGGCCACCAGACTGCAGGCTCTAGATCTAGCACCAGCACCATGCGCTGAATCATCCTAATGTTTCCTAACGATGTTAAAACACTCATATAAATATATATCCTGGTAAGGTAAAAGTAAAACACTTCTTAAAAATATCTGGAAACATTTGGGTATTACAGGGGTGGTTAGAGGTCAGATATTTGAACTATGGACCTTCCTCTGAATTTTCGACATCTGGCATTTTACATTAATTCCTTAAACAGCCTGCTTCCTAAAAAGTATTACTGCAGAAAACATACCATCAGCTAACTAGCAGTGACAGATAAAGTGTTGTTCCCAGAAGTGAAACCCAGTATAGAAAGGTAAAAGAAATGATCAGGAATGTAAATAAATGCCAATGATTAGCATCACTAATATTGTTTGTTATGTAGGAAGACTGTGGAGGAAGGTTGTGTGAAATGTTCACAAACAGATTTCACCCAAGCACAGAGGGCTCGTGCAAAGCTCTCTACCTATGCTGGGGAGGAAAGGGGGCTATGTGGGAGGCAGCAGATGGAGCAGCCACATGGCTTTGTCTCCTCCTGCACGCCACACTGGAGTTTTCCATGTCAGCCCCACATAGGCCAATATAGAGGGCAATGCTGGTGCAGGGGACAGGAGGGGTCAATGCTATCTGGGATTAACCTGTGCAACTAGCATGGAGAGGGGATTTGGCTGTTGACCACACTGGCTGGAATAGCAATTACAAGAGGAGGTCTGTGTTGCAGCCCTGTAACTTGATTAGGGATGTTGGATTGGCCTTTCCCCCCACAAAACCTTTGCACGCTTCAGCCATGTAAATCTGTACAGTGTAAACAGAAACATTAGGAATTCACCTAGTTCTATTTGCTACAAACTTGAAACTCCAAGCTTTAGGGCTCTCGAGCAGGGCCCATGATTGTGTTATGGTTTCAGTGTGAAGCCAGGAGAAATTAATCTACTTCAAACAAGTTTGGGGTTAATTTGAACCGAGAACTCAAAGCAAAAGTTGAGAAGTGCAATAGTACAAATATTGAATTAAATGAAACCTTGTGAAGTGAAATGGCTGAGTTTTGTACAGCTATGCTTGATGTTACTGGACCCCTCCAGAGTATTAGGTACTAACAATCATGAAATCCAGCTGGATTTGTCTCAGAGATCTAGTAGAGGTGAAAGTCACTATGCTGTGGTGGGCCTAAACCTCCCTAACAAGGCAGACCTAGAGGTAATGATGTCAGTCATGAGATAAGAGGGAAGGCCCTCTCCTGGATCAGTAACTGGTTAAACGACCGGAAACAAAGGGTAGAAATAAGTGGTCAGTTTTCAGAATGGAGAGAGGTAAATAGTGAGGTCTCCCAGGGATCTGTAGTGGGACCAATGCTGTTACAACCTAGAGTAGAACTTCAGAGTTATGAAAACCAGAGTTACAAACTAACCAGTCAACCATACACCTCATTTGCAAGAAAACATACCATCCAGTATGAACGCAATCAGGCAGCCGCAGAGATGACAACGACAAAAAGCAAATACAGTTAAACATAAACTACTAAAAAATAAAAGGAAAGTTTAATAAAAATGATTTGACAAGGTAAGGAAACTGTTTCTGTGCTTGTTTCATTAAAATAAGATGGTTAAAAGTAGCATTTTTCTTCTGCGTAGTATAGTTTCAAAACTATATAAGTCAATGTTAAGTTGTAAACTTGTTCTTTGAAAGAACAACCATAACTTTTTGTTCAGAGTTATGAACATTTCATAGTTACGAACCACCTTTCATTCCTGAGGTGTTTGTAACTGTGAGGTTCTACTGTAAAAAGCAGACTGTGAAGAGTTACAAAGGGATCTCACAAAACTGGGTGACTGGGCAACAAAATGGCAGATGAAATTCAGTGCTGATAAATGCAAAGTAATGCACACTGGAAAACATAATCCCAACTATACATATAAAATGATGGGGGTCTAAAATTATCTATTACCACTCAAGAAAGAGACCTTGGAGTCATTGTGGATAGTTCTCTGAAAACATCTACGCAGTGTGCAGCAGCAATCAAAAAAGCTAACAAAGTTATGAACCGTTAGGAAAGGGATGGATAATAAAACAGAAAATATGATAATACCACTATATAAATTGATGGTATTCCTACACCTTGAATATTGCATGCAGTTCCAGTCCCCTCATCTCAATAAAAATATATCAGAATTGGAAAAGATACAGAGAAAGGCAACAAAAATGATTAGGAGCATGGAACAGCTTCCATATGAAGAGAGATTAAAAAAACTGGGACTTTTCAGCTTGGAAGAGAGATAGCTAAGGGGGGGGATATGTTAGATGTCTATAAAATCATGAATGGTGTGGACAAAAATGAATAAGGAAGTGTTGTCAAGGTTCCTCCCCCACTCTGAACTCTAGAGTACAGATGTGGGGACCTGCATGAAAAACCTCCTAAGCTTATCTTTACCAGCTTAGGTCAAAACTTCCCCAAGGTACAAAATATTCTACCCGTTGTCCTTGGACTGGCCGCTACCACCACCAAACTAATACTGGTTACTGGGGAAGAGCTGTTTGGACGCGTCCTTCCCCCCAAAATACTTCCCAAAACCTTGCACCCCACTTCCTGGACAAGGTTTGGTAAAAAGCCTCACCAATTTGCCTAGGTGACTACAGACCCAGACCCTTGGATCTTAAGAACAATGAACAATCCTCCCAACACTTGCACCCCCCCTTTCCTGGGAAATGTTGGATAAAAAGCCTCACCAATTTGCATAGGTGACCACAGACCCAAACCCTTGGATCTGAGAACAATGAAAAAGCATTCAGTTTTCTTACAAGAAGACTTTTAATAAAAATAGAAGTAAATAGAAATGAAGAAATCCCCCCTGTAAAATCAGGATGGTAGATATCTTACAGGGTAATGAGATTCAAAAACATAGAGAACCCCTCTAGGCAAAACCTTAAGTTACAAAAAAGATACACAGACAGAAATAGTTATTCTATTCAGCACAATTCTTTTCTCAGCCATTTAAAGAAATCATAATCTAACACATACCTAGCTAGATTACTTACTAAAAGTTCTAAGACTCCATTCCTGGTCTATCCCCGGCAGAAACCAGCATATAGACAGACGCAGACCCTTTGTTTCTCTCCCTCCTCCCAGCTTTTGAAAGTATCTTGTCTCCTCATTGGTCATTTTGGTCAGGTGCCAGCGAGGTTACCTTTAGCTTCTTAACCCTTTACAGGTGAGAGGAGCTTTCCCCTGGCCAGGAGGGATTTCAAAGGGGTTTACCCTTCCCTTTATATTTATGACAAGTGTAATTTACTCTTTCACGTAGCACAAGACCCAGGGATCACACAATGAAATTAATAGGCAGCAGGTTTAAAAAAAGGAAGTACTTCTTCACACAACACACCGGCAACCTGTGGAACTCATTGCCAGGGGATGTTGTGAAGGGCAACACTATAACTGGATTCAAAAGAGA